CCAATAGCTTCAAATGTTTTCCAATAATTTCTAGAACCATTTGCACTATCGACTCCTCACTATACTATGACACGATGAGAATCTAGCTATGTAAGCCCACTCAAATTCCTTTGCAAACGGTGAAAACAACTGGTTACAGTGATGCGGCCAGCATTCTTCAGCTATCGGAAAATCGAAAGAACGACATGATTATTCGTGTGCACGCGAAATTGTGTTCCTAAACCAACAGGGCTGCATCCGCTACTAACCACATTCCGAGTGGAAAAAAAAACGCAGCTTTCACATCTCAAATTTCACGGCTGTACTCCACAAAAACACCAGCCCTTAGTTTTGATCCCTTACTGTTTCATTTGTTTTCTTCAAAGCACAGATACTCGGTGTATTTTTACCCCGAATATCTATTCTGTGAAGAAAATGAAAGAAAAGGAACAAGAGATATGAAGCAAAAAAATTCTCCTAGGAAGTATGAAAACCTCTAAAAAAGCAAACAATAAGGGCAGCAGTCACAAATCGTGTCAACTCCTCCGAAATCTTATCACTCAAATCTCAATAAAAAAAAAGGCCAACCTCTGCTTGGTACCTTTCCGCATCCTTCTGAGCCAATTCATAGAAGCGCCTTTTCTCATCATCAGACATCGTCTAGAACCAAGACATTTGTTCAACATAGGAGCCGTGGAAAAATTATTATCATACCTTCCATTTTTCACTGCACTTCTTTGATATCTCAGTCACTTGCACATTCTCATTTGGGTATTTCTTTTTGTGCTCTTCATAGCACATTTTCACGAAGAAGCCATAAGGCGAAGTCTTGCCACGAACCGGAGGTTTGCCAATGTCCCGCATTGACATGCCAGAGTAAGATACACCAAAATCCACGGTTGCTTGTAATCTGTAAGATGGTTTTTAGCTTCCAAATAATACCTATACGACTTTAGAAGAATATTGAGCGGACCGTCACAAATCTCGTTCTGTGATAATATTTAACATTTCAGCACTGACATAAATAAGCGAGTGTGGCTATTGCAGTGCTGCCACTCACCAAATGCTTGGCCCTGTGGTCAAATCGATCAAATCCGAGGAACTCCTTGGCTGAGCAAACCTACCATCCCTCAGATTAATTCAATGAAATTGACCTTACTTTATTTCCCCTAGCTTTAGTCCGGGTTCGTCTGATTGATACGACATGCGTCTAACCAACATTGGGGTGGGACTTTACTTCAACTCGCTTCCCCAAATTAAACCATCTCATACCACTGGCATCCCAAATGGAAAAAAATGCGCTGCGCCCATTCTTGCGTAGTCACCAAAAGGAGTTGATTAACGCTGAATACCTTGTTTGCAATTTTTAAAAACAGCTAATATAACCTGCTCTCCTCAATTTAGTGACTTGTCGCTATCAACAGAAAAACAATTTTCGAGCAGTATGACAGACTTTGCGTCCTCCGCAACCTAATCTCCAACTTCACAGGCAAAAGAGCAAATAAGTTATAAAAGGCACCGATGAGCGTTGGACCGAAGTATAGATCAAGGAACTCCGATTGAAAGCTTAAAAAAAAATGCACTTGAGGGTTGATAGCCAAAATGAGGAAGATGTAAACACTTCACGATGTGAAAATAATGGTGTGACACGAAACGCGATCAATACTGCGCTTCTTGAGGAAAAACTCAACATTGTCACAAGTATCCTTCCTTCACAAGAACTAATACTGAGAGCTGTTCTCTGTCGCGTTATTATAGCCATGAAAAAACACCGGGCGAACTAGCGCTTTGAATTAGAGAAGCGAAACAGGCTTTCTTAACAGTGAGGTTGTTTTTTTTCTGTATGAGAATGATTCACTTCTTCCTTCCTAAGGCCACGCGGGCGGAAGCGAAAAAATGATTTCCAAATTCGGACAGCCTATTGGTAAAACAAGAGAAAAACCTACGATGAAAAACAATCACCACATTCTACAATCAACGCAGTCCTTTCACAAATTGCCATAAATAAACTTGCTAAAAGATCCTGTCGTGGCAAAGAAACCCCTTTTATTGAGACGAATTTGTGATGGAGACACATGGCGGGTTTTGCATTTCTAATTATTTGGTAATCAAATGTTGGACAAGAACAAGAATTGTGGAATAGAGTTTGAGTGCTAGACATTAATTGATCCACTGTACGCCATGCACCCGCGACCCATGCACTCGAAATTGTAAACGGTTTTCACTAAAAACCACGTTGTCAAACTCCTCAAAGCTCGAACCTTCTCTTCATGAAGAAAAAACTCAAAGTGTGAGCTGAAAATTTTCCTCAGCCAACCGACTTGAAAATGTTATGCAACCCTGACACCCTAACAAGGCAAAAGATTTCATGATGGTCACTTGAATCTCGCTAAAAGCTAACCACGATAGAAAAAAGGCCACATAGAGCCAAGCGAACCTGTTAAATCATATTATTTAAGTTTGTGAGGATGAAGTACATGACTACATGGCGATGTAGGCGCTACATTACTGACATTCGCACAATCGCCTGCGCCATCAATAATTCTCAGCTCGTCTGTGAAATGATGTGATGCTCCTAGATTGCCGGATTTCAGCCTCTTGATGCATTAGCGAAGAAAGCTGCTATTTTTGTTAATCCGACAACTGAGAGAACATCCCTTCAAAGTAGCTAGACCTTTAGTTCTAACTTCGGGATATTTTTGAAACTGTCGTGCAGAAATGAATTGTAATTTGAATTCTAACTTAATATTATAAGCGACGGTACTATTCCACTATCACTGCCCCAAAATCTCAAATTTTATTTTTCGTCGAAACTTTGCCTATTGGGGTAATTCGATGCCCTGATTACGAATATGACATTCATTTTTGACGCTGGCGCCATTTGGCGCCACGGCTGTTTTCACCAAATTCGGTGTAAACTTGTACATAGGGGTTATTTGGTGTCCTGATTACGAATATGACATTCATTTTTGAGCTTGCGCCATTTGGCGCCCATTTTCTGCTCGTCTGCGCCCTCGCACTGATTGATCGCTATCAGGACTAAGCCCTTGGGGAAGGAGGGCTCAGAAGTGAGTGAGCCACTCACCCTGATATCACACAGTTCAACTTTTGTCAAATCCCGAAGTCCTTCTTCCCAATAAGCCCAGTCGAAAGCACTATGTATAAGTGAAAGAGCCCAAGAAGGCAGAAACATGCGTTAGACAGCGCCAATTCCAAAAACGAATGTCATATTCGTAATCAGGACACCAAATAACCCTATACACAAGTTTACACCGAATTTCGTGAAAACAGCCGACAAAGTGGCGCCAAATGGCGCCAGCGTCAAAAATGGAATGCCATATTCGTATCAGGACATCGAATTGTAAAGTTCCGACGAAAAATAAGATTTTGAGATTTTGGGGAGTAGTAATGGAATAGAGCCGATATTTGTCTTGGGACAGTAAAAAAGAAAATTCAAACATGCCCCAAAACGCTTTACTCACCACTTGAAGTGTAAACTGGAAACTTAAAATCATGTAAATACCCTTGATGACTTTTGCGCTGCAACATCCCGCGATAAAACTCCTTCTTATATTTCCCTTGGGAGTTCTCCCCGAAACTCCTTCAACGCGTCACAAATTCTGCCATAAAATAGGCCCACCACTTCTAAGCGCGGCAGCTGGAAGGAGCCTTCGAGCGAGTCGCAAGTTGAAGACGCGAAGTTCCTATTAGATATGTGGATTGTTTTTTCTGGTCATTTTTAAGGCAAAAAAAGCCGTTGTAACGCGTGCGTGCGTAAGATTAAAGGACTGCACACAAATCAGATGCGTAGCGGTCCATCTACATAGGAATCGCTTGACAAGCTTCGTACACCTTTTGTAGGCTAGCGAAATATCACGAGGCCTCCGTATTTCGGAATGCGTCTCCCCATTGCGTGTTATTTCCACAGCTAGCAGGGCGGGGGTATGTTTCACATCAGATTAGGAAGTGTTTGACAGTGTGGTTGGAATGGTCATATGTCATTACTTTATCAAGGAGGCCAAATAAAATGGAACTCAACTGCAAGCACGTAAAAATAACCAATTTTAAATAAGTCCAACAGCAGAGTGATTTCAGTGCGCGGTTACGGATGTGTTGAACCATAGTACGGTTGTAGATAGCCTTGTTTATAAGAGTATAAGAATAAGGTTTGTAATTGGTAATGAGAATCGTCAGCGTGAGCTCCAGGAACCGTCATCATGTTGTACTTTTCGAAAAATGCCACCATGATTTCCAGGTACTGCTTGAACGTTTGTCGTTGTACAGAAGCGCTCGTCGTCTCTGCGACTGAATCTGCTTCGAGCGGCTTTTCTGGCAGAAACAAAGTAATCAAGTGGTGAGTTTTTTTTGCTTTCAAAATAAAAATCAATATTCTGGCAAGAGTTTCTGTGT